TCCTCCTGGGACACCCTGTATATATATATATATATATATATATATATATATATACTAGCTTTACCCGGCCACGCGTTGCTGTGGCTCAGTCTAACGAAATATTTAAATTCAAACGCAGATCAATCGACACAGCTGAATCCTACCGCCAATTGCACTGAAAAATAAGGAAAACAATTAATAAAACGAAATGAAAAACAATGAAAAATAAACTATACTCACGAAATGACCGCTATGGTAAACGACACAGCCCAATTCCAACGCAATGTCACACGAAATAATTAAATCAAAATGAAAATAAATCGAAACTGTTTATATTCGGCTGTAGCTATCCCAAAACTGTCTCCTTCGGCGGTAACTTCCAGACTCTCTTCTGTATCCCTCGGCATCTGCCCCGAGACTGACTGCTTCTTGTCCAAGCTGGACTATTTATACCTCGGCGGATGCTATACAATGAGCCTTCTGTTGTCTATCACCGGGGAAACGCTGCCAGAGTCGAATCCAAAACTCTGAGTGCAAACTCAGGATCTGTGCTGATTTCACTCGGAATCTCTTGTGATACTTGTGACCTCGTGATACTCGAGACACTCGTGATACTGAACAGTCGCCGGAGCTACACTCTGTTATATATATAGCCAGCGTTCGGACGGGATAGGGAATACCATATCGAAGAGTTAGTTTCATCTGTTGCTTAGGAAATGCTAGCACAGAACACCTTGTAGAAGTGTTTGGGTATCATCCGTTGTTACGCAACGGAACCTCTTATCCTCTCATCTCCAGGGAAACGCGTTTGTTGTTTCGGCAATTCCTATGCAACGGCCCATTCTTATTGCGTTTCCATGGAAGTATATGCTAACTGTTCTAGCGTTATTATGGAAACGACTTCTGGATTCCGAACATGTGACAGGTTTTTACCTGTTCTTACCTGTCACAGGTGTGACATATATATAATAGGTACATAAAAACACGCGCGTATTCGAATGCAAAATTGTGTCAAAATTTCAAAGCAATCAGTGAAGAACTTTCGGAGATCTTCGATGATTAAGAAACCAACATTTATATTTTTATTTATGTAGATTGTTTTTGGGATTCTTCTTGGCCATAAGCAGCCTTTCTTAGTATCACTTTTTAGCTCAGCGTTTATTGTTGTTTCATTCTAGGAGCCTTTCCATTCCGCTCCAGGCGAAATTGGGGCGAAGTTTAAATGCAAGTTAGAAATGGTGTTGGATTCGATCCTAGGACTAAAAAGATTCAGCCAATTAGTCAGTACTTGAGTGGAATTAGGGTATCTTTGCGAGATGAATGTTCCGAACCTTCGGCGCCAGTGTATAAATGCTGTCCAATCACGTCAGTTAATGTAGAAAGATCATTCACATCATGTAAACTCATTTTGACGGACAATAGACGTACGAGTAGTTTGTTTCCAGAAAACACAGAGACTTCTAGTTGCCTATTTTGATGCTACTTTCTGCAGTGAATGATACATGTAAATAGGTGTGTCTGAATAAAGTGACCTGTTTCTTAAGTGCATTTTGTTTTAATTTTGGTGTAATTTTTCCGCTTTACCGCATATTTTAAGTGTTTTAGTGCATATTTTAACTGTTTTTAGAGCATAAAGATCCGGGCCCTACTCATTACAGTGTAAACCTATAAATTTTGCCACGAAACCACACGCAGATACAATTAATATAAAATTGGTTTGTTTCGAAAAGCCAAAAATCACATCACGTCTTAATTCCAGTATTCAATGGGCAGTACTGGGAACGCGCAAGACATCAGCAACATTTCTCAACTTTTAGACCCCTCATACACACACGGTTTGGCCTTGCGATCGACCTTACAGGCAAAACTGTGACAGTTTGGCCTCTCCCTTTCCTTCCCCATACACGCGCAGATAAACCGCAAGGCCGCATGCAGTCTTCCATTTAAATATCGCTGTTGTGGGTCCTCCTGCGGTAGTATTTTTTAATTGCCCATTTAAATTTTGCTCTAAATTATATTATGTACCATAAATTTTGAACTATATAAGATACAATTACGAATTTTTCACTGAAATCTTCTTAAAAGTTGGTTTTATAATTTACCTTGTAATATGAGTGCCCTGTATCTGAGCGATGGAAGCAAGTAGATTAGAATTTGAGTTTCATATTGAATTTAAGTAAACAGAGATCTCGAAACAAAACGTTACTGCACAGCGGTGTTCCTTCACATAGAACAGAACTATGTTACAAAATGAAACAGAAACTTCCGCATCAAACGTATGCAATTCTGAGATCCTATCTTACACACAGATACTACTTTGTAAAGCAACAGGAGGCATTTACAAACCTATACCCAATATCATCTGGCGTACCCCAATGTAGCGTTTTAGTACCAGTGCTATACTTGATCTACACATCAGATCTACCAACAACCAGAAAGACAACAACAGCCACGTTTGCAGATGACACAGCTATCTTGACATCTCATACCAATCCTCTATCCGCATCCAGGAACTTACAAGACCACCTAAATAAAATTCAACACTGGCTGAAAAAGTGGCGAATGAAGGCAAATGAAAATAAGTCTACAAATGTAACGTTTACCATGAAACGCGCTACCTGTCCTCCAGTAACGTTAAATCACTCTCAGATACCACAAGCAGAAGACACCAAATACCTTGGTATACACCTGGATAAATGATTGACATGGCAAAAACACATTCACACCAAAAGAAAACAATTCGGAATAAAATTCCAATAGATGTATTGGATGCTGGGAAGACAGTCGGAGCTATCGACAGAAAGCAAGATATTACTGTACAAAACCGTGCTCAAGCCGATATGGACGTGCGGGATACCATTGTGGGGATCAGCCAGTAACTCAAACATAGAAATTCTCCAACGATTTCAAAGCAAAGTATTACGAATAATAGTTAACGCACCGTGGTATGTGCCGAACACGGTACTACACAAGGACCTAGATGTACCAACAGTAC